AAGTCTCTGTGTATTGCTCTACATCTGCGTGTTACTCAGCCCATTGATCTTGAATGACCTCATTGAACAGAATCGGTTTTCAATGAAGGGTCGGTATTTACTAGTCCAGAAATATTCATCTCCCGTACCTTATTCGCTAACTCTTTATCGCGTGAATCACCCCTCTCTAGATACACTCACTGATCTCCAATTTTTTTCATTAGACAGAGGGGCTACTCTCTCATGTTCATACGTTTGGGAGCAGCTTCAAGGGGAGAGTTTGGTTGTCAGCGTAGTAGGCAAGCCCTCTGACCCTTGGTCAAACGTCAATTAAGGAACTCCGATAGATATCCACGTCAAAGTTGTCATTATTCCACGTGTTCTCATCGATTATGATGATTATTCATGACTTCATTTGTATCTTTTCCAGATAAGCCCCGCCAAAAAATTAACCCCTGCCACCCAAAAAAATTAAGAAATAGGATTTGAAATTTATACTTTTAGTTTTTATTGAAGAGGGTGAAATTGGGACATGAGTATAATGCATGCCAATCACCGTTTCAATTCCTTGGTATTATGCCCACATATCGGAGATGATGATTGAGCCGGGGGCGATGCAGGCCTGAATTGTGTCCATCAAAGTGGCCGCAGTTCGATCTGGCGCTGCATACATGAACACCTATTTAGTTTTCCAGCAGATCCCTCCTAAAATCCACTGCTGGGGAAGGACTCGTCCTGCGTATTTTTTACGGCGAGATATTAGCGTTTCATGGATCTCGACGTGTAGACCTGGGCCGCCGATAACTGTTGTAGTCTGCAAAAGCCGCCAGGCGCAAACTTCGCGAAGAAATTTCAGTCAATCAACAGCGGTCGAGTGGTCAATAGAGAATTCCTCTGAGCAGAATCTAATTTTTGCCAAATTTTTGGACCAGCAATAAATGAATGGAATTACTGTCCTAAACTCTATCCTAGACCGCTCCAGCCAAGTTCCCATTCGAAGACCGATTTCTTGCCGACACTTTCCGACATTACACCTCCACCTTTCAGAAACAGTTGAAAGTGTCATTTGGTGGCAATTATTGCATAGACGTTGTTGATGGATCATTCCGTGGCTTTACAAGAAACGTATTGCCGTCTCCTTGTCATGAGCGAGAGTTGAAAGCGTCAGAAAGTTCATTTAAGGTTTTATGTCCAAAAGGAGAAAATTTTTGCACAAAATGAGCCTAGATGCAGATAAGGGATTATTTTCACCAAAAATAGGTCAAGGTTGTGTGCCTCCATTAAATTGGAGCTGGCAAAAAGTGGCGAGGCTTAACTTTTCGCAGGTGCAATTTTGGGATTAGTGGCGAGGCTTATCTGGAAAAGCTCCCTTCATTTCAATACGCTTTCGGACAAAATACATGAAAGTTTCCAGGTCAGGTTGTATGAGTTAGGCCACAGATTTCAACTGCATGCGTACATGCAGTCACAATGTAGCCGTTTTCACTCTGCTTCTAATTCTGTCAGCCTCCATGTTCACGAAAACAAGGTCAACGTGCCTTCAAAGGTTATATTGTACAGTATTTTGTTCTTCCACTAGGACACGTGCTGCTTCGGAATAGGCCAGGATACCGTGCGTACCAGAGACTGTTTTTTTATGATTCCGGTCAGCTTAAAACGGATGACCTTACATGGACTAAGTCTTCCGAGACAAATATCTGGTGAACAGCTACGATGTGTGACAGCTTCACCTGATGATTTTGCCATAAGAATGTTATTCTTTGGTCCGGTGGACCACACTGATGTAGAGCCAGATTTTACATTCCTTGCGGTCTACCAGAACGACAGGTCTGCACGTATGCAAACGCTTGACCACAAGCCGGACAGCAACCAAGCAACATGACCAGTTAGCCTTGTCAGCCGTATCACAAAACTCCGTCACGCCAACCCGTCAACTGACAAGTCATAAACAATAAGTCATCTCAAACAATGCTCACCATATCTAGTACAAAACGCCGCGCCTACGCCCACATAATGTGTGCATTTGAGTACGGGAGAGGGAAATGAAGCCTACCACCAGTGAAACTATACATACTCTGGATAACTACTCAACACGCCTATCGTCATTAATGAGGGCACATCTCGCCTCAACAGTAATTCGTTTTTTCCTTTCAGTTTGAAACTTCTGTGACTGTGAAAACCGCTCAACCAAACTAACTTCAGAGTGGAATTCTCGCGGTTTACGAGTTTTCGGATTGAAGAGCTAGTGCGACGTTGGCACTGAATGAACAGGAATACTGACCACATTCTATACGCGCTGCGTGTTTTCTCACGCACGTTGTTCATATAGAGGCTAGTCCAACTTAAGGATTGTTTTCACATCTTCAGAAGTTCTTCACTGAATTCCCTACGTGAGCCTCCATCAGGTCAAGGGCGCTCAATTATACGTTAACTATCCCTCTTCCAATAAGAACTCACATGCATCTGACGTCATATCACTTCACCAATGGTGCATTCTCGCGCAGTTTATTTTTTCCCACGTTCCTGAATTTTTCGGTCATTCGGTACTGTACGCCGTATTGTTACGGTTCGCCTCACTGTTCACATTCAATGGTCACTCGCACACCATGTGACCGAAATAAGGACTAGGCCATAATGTATGAGAAGATCAGGCACGAACATGCTCCACTTCTAAAATGCCATCATTCATATAGTGTCTACGGTCAATATCCTCCACGCGATTCGAAAGATCTGCGTGTTTCTTTGATGAAACGGTGCCCTGAGTGCACCTCTCCGTTCACGCTTCTGACTACTTCGTATCAAGCATTCTCCATGCTTGACTAAGAGCCCCACTCATTTTGTATGAATCGCTATGGGTGGTCGCCAGCTGTCTATCAGTTTGTTTCGTTCTACATCATAGAAATTCGGGAACAGTCATCTGCGTTTGTGGCTAGTGGGCTGACTGCTAGCAAATCAATAACCACGTGAATTCAGTTATGCTGTGAGCACAAACGATGTCAGAAACCTTCTGCTGTTGAAGTGGAGAATAAGTATTCTTCTACCTGAAATGAGATACTGAATCCTGTTGCATTCAACCCATATGCCTCAATCAGGGAACCTCATCATTTCTGCATTGGCGCGTTTCGTTGCAGCTGAAAATCACTTTGAACACGCGATTTTTAATGGACGAGGAAATGTAAAATAACTTGACTTTGAGCAACTAAGGGCATTCTGTCCAGCTTCCACAGTTATGATGTTTGATCAGATTGCAGTTGATCTGTTCGCCGAGCTTGGCAGTAGGCTTGCAAACGTTTCGTCCCTAGTTGAGGATACATCGTCAGTGCGCAGTTGAATGGGTGCTTCCTCCGTGCCTAGCTGCGTTTATGTAGTTTTTTGTAGGGTATCTAATATCCCGTAATGTGACTGGCTATTTGGTATATGCCTTCTGTTGCAGTAAACACACCCGAGCTACCTATATTTCGACAAATTTTCCAGTTCGCTAGAGGCAAAAGAATTGCGCTATTGACTCCATATACCAGCTTAGCACTGAAAATACTATTGCTTCGCTACTCATGAGTAGTCAAGGTTTGATGTATCATCCGTTGGGCATGGTGCTGGGGCGCAACGTATCGAACAGCTTTCATCGTAATAAAAAATATCTCATCTGCATGTACAGTCTCCGTGGTTCATTGGTTTAGCACACTGGAAACATATTCAGTGTATATGTTATCTCTCTCGATGTTTTCTAGGTTCTCTCATCTCGTTCTATTTTCACCTGAAAGTCATTATTTTACTATTCCTAACTGTTAACTATCAACTAATAAACATTCAGGATGGCTGGATGCATCTTACTGCTAGAAATGCCTGAAGCTTGCTACTTTATATCAAGACGCTCGTTAGCCCAACACAAGCTATCTGTGCGACCCTCGCGTTCTATGCTGTGTAAACAACCGCTAAGTTTGTTTAGTGTTCGAGTGCATTGTCAAAAACGACAACCATTCTCCCTAATTATTCTTCGCAGACTGCGTCTGGCAGTTCACGAACCCGAAGCTGACAGCTTGCAGTGATGTAGGATTTAAATTTCACGATGCATCTTGTTAGGTCATTTGGGGAGATTGTACCAGGTTAACACCATCGTCGCTAACGACGAGTGATCAGGCCTTTGCCAATGTGAAGTTCTGACCATAATCATCGGCAGCATGACATCAGTGTTCAACACCGATGCTTCACTCCGTACAACC